TCTCTCTCCCCGCTGTTGTCTTCATATTTGCCCGAAAACGATCAGTTCACTGACGCGTTGGCCAGTTCACGGCTGTGAACACCAAAACGCGTCCGTGAACTCAGCGTCGTCCAAAACACACCGCTTCACTGCTATGGGTTCACAGTCAATGGCCACAGTTCACGGTCTCTAAGATCGTGAACTGCCTTGTCGTTAGTAACTTCACGAACCTTGCTAGACTGCTCAATGTTCACAGTTTGTGGTCCATGTTCACGGTCTTAGGAGACCGTGAACTGCCTTGTCCGGCCGTGAACTGCGGCTGTTTCCTGAGACGCCTTCACTTCACTGTTATGACTTCGGATTTTCTTCGGTTTTTGCACTTTTTGACCTCCAAATATCCCAAAACTCGTCCTCAACCCTTCCACAAGTGCTAGGACCTGAAATGTATAAAAACAAGCACAACCTAGCGTGAAATATGTCGAGGAACGATGAAATACTTAGCTAAACGAATAAGAAATGAGGGGTAAAACGTGTACATTTGGGCCCGAATCATCATGCCAGATTAGCAAGATGTTTAATGTTTAGCAATTAACTAGGCTAAAATTTTAGAGAATCAGTCACCTATAATTTATACAAAATATTATTGCTTCGTAGTAGTTCTGGAAATTTATATTAATTTAAAATTCTGCATCTGTTTTGCATATTCAATACTGTAATTCAATATGTAATATTTCAAGTATTGAAATTTGTGTTTCAATTTTAAGATTACCCGTCATTTTATAGGTTATAACAAATTTATCAATCACGTATTAAACTTTGCTTTCAGAAGACTTAATAGGCTAGCTAACCGTGATGAAAAAGTCCTCTGCTTTTCAAATCTTCGCTAAGTGTATGCTTACAATTCAAGAAGATAAAACAAATTTGTTTAGTGTAATTGGTTGTGGTTGTTGGTTTTTGTTTAAAGAGACCATGGTTCAAATCTGGATATTAATATTTTTTTATAGGAAGTAGATAAATAATTGTGATGACAAAAATACTGTTCCTATTTTCACTCTCGCTTCACGAAATTTGAAATGAAAAATCTTAAAACATTGAATATATCTTATAGAAAGAGCTTCTTCAACCAAGGAAAAATGACATTTTACCTGAAATTATTATATCTTATAGAAAGTGATTAATTGTAAAATCGAAACTGAAGTGACATTGATTCAAACATTAAATATTAAATTTTATGTGTGGTACAATTTAGATAAAATACATGTGTGTAGCCTTTTTTTTTAAAGGGTTTGTTTATTAAGAAAGCGATTGGGCCAAGCCCAAATGGAAAAGTACAAGCAGAAATACACAGTTGGATAAAAAAACCAAACAAAAAGGCCCAAAGAGACAAGTGGGCCGGCACCCAATAGGGCCCAAACATGTGTGGCTCTCCTAACCCTAGCTGTGCATCTGCCTCCCACAGCAACATCCACCACCGCGGCTGAAAACAACCTCCACGAAAAGACACCCAGCGTCGCCACCTGCACAAGTCGCCGCCGCCATATGCTTGAACAGGGAACCGCTTCCACCAAACCCGAAGAGGATTCTCTCACCATCCAACTCCAAGCCAGTCGTCTCTGCCTCCTTCAAAAACGACACAAAGGACCACATCGGAAGACCGGTCGGCGGCGAAAGCTCCAGAGGGAGAAGGACTTCTGTCTTCAAGCTCTCCACTCTGAGTCCGACGCCATGGGCTACATCTCCGGAACAACAAGATCTGCATGTTGAGACAAGGAGGTAGACAAGAGAGAGGGAAGGAGAAGACAAGCCAGATCTAGAACAGATTCGACCTCCATCGCTTCTTATATCAGACATCATCTCCAGATCTGAGTCACACAGATCAGAGGGCAAAAAACTCGACCCAACAGAGGGGGAGGAAGAGATCCAACAAAGGAAGGACAAACACCCAAAACAAGGGCCAAAACATGGGTCTTTGTGACATATCTAGTAATATCTTGTGACAAATCTACACATAATATAAAGATAAAAATGAAAAATGAGAGTCTCCTTTCAATTTCGTAGAATCACTCTCAAGCTACGAAATTGAAAGGAGACTCTCATTTTTCATTTTTATCATTATATTATGTGTAGATTTGGTAAAAAAAAAAAGACTATAATCGTTAGAAATGTTTTTTGGTTACACTTCTGTATTTTGTCTAAACTAAACTAAACTACACATACAATTGAATATTAATGTTTGAAACAATATTATTTGAGTTTCGATTTCAGAACTAATGTCTTTCTACAAACTATAAATAACTTAAGACAAACTATAAATATAGAAGCATCATCACTAAACATATTCCTAGAGTTTAATAAAAAATAAACACAATGTAGTCTAGTTAGTTATAATGCTCTTTCTTCATTTACGTGACCAGGGTTCGAACTCTAATGATAATATTTTTAATATAGAAAGATGAAATGGGTGCAATGACAAAAATGACCTTCCTAAAATTACTCTCAGGCTACGAGATTTGAAATGAGACAATTCCAACCCATGTTTTGCCTTTATATATTTTGTAGATTTCTTTGAGAGGGAATTGAAGACGGAAAAGTGATACTTTGTATTTTTGTATATTAATTTTTGTTATTTTATTAATTTTAGATAAAAATAAAAAGCTAATATTAAAAACCACGTCATATGCCACATCAGCGTTGATTGTATTTTTTGTTAAATACTAACAGGGTTGTCCATCGCGTGGCACAAACGGCCCTTGCATCAGTAGCAACTCTTTTAGTTGACTACCGCTCTTTCATTTACACAGCATTGTAATACCCTATTTATTACGATCTATCTATGACAAAAAAAAAAAGATAGCAAACTCTAACGTAAAAATAGTTAATGACATAAATGTCATATTGAATAGTTTGGGACACAAATATAGTTTGGGTTTCCTAATGGTATTAGCCCTAATATTTATTACGGGATGAGACTTGGGATTAAAATTTAATATTTATTACGGGATGAGACTTGGGATTAAAATTTTTGACATTGGGTACCCACGGGTTACCCGCTAATACCTATTTTGGTAGTATGGGTACCGTAATACCTATTATATTAATTTCATATACAATATCATAGCTCAAAGCCCAGACACATGAGCACACTACAGGTGAATGTAACAGAGATGCAAAATGAATTCCGATCTTTTAGTGATACATGCATCTCACCACATCCGACTACCATAATGCTAGCAACACCAATGAGGAAAATGAGGATGAGGGAGAGGAGAGATGTCTAGGAACTCCATGATTTAGGCTGTGTTTTTTTGTTGTGAAATTTGTTAAGTCTTAAAGAAGATTTGGTTAAAGTAACTATGCTCGTGGATTGATATTAAGTCGTTGTGATTTTTGATTTTAGATATGTGTGAACTATTATGAGGTGTGTTTTATTGTATTCAGAGTTAGTGATTAAGTTTTTAAGAAGTTATGGTTTCTTACTATTATAATTGTGGATTGAATTTGTTGGTTTCTATCGTAATTTCTTAGACCAAACAAAGTACATAAATCGACAGACATAAGCATAAAATTTAAAGGTCTCAAGCTTATTTTACAGTAAGCGGTCGACCACAAAATTAATATTTTCCTCTACGTTTCACTTCAAGAGGGATAGATTGATGTGTTGTCGACTCTTCTTCTATCTAGTTAACCTCTTGTTGAAAATGGTCGGCTTCATTGCAGATATGTTATTGACTACGCTAAATTGGTCGACCTTTTTTTTACGGTCCATCATTTTGTACGTGAATAAATTGAAAAGTCTTTTTTTTTTACAAAAGATAATCATATATTGATTTGGAAAAAATAGATCATTACATCATGTGTCTTAGCCAGGCCACAAAATAAAAAAAACGACACATTATCGGGTACAAAGAAAGAAAAATTGGTAACCGATATATGTTGCGTTAAAAGTTAAACGAAAATTTCCCATTTATTATTATTGTTCTTGTGGCAATATTATGCTTATTAGTACGTATTGTCATTGTTTTGTGTACATATCATAAACATCACATACAAATAGAAAAGAATTACATGGTAATTTTGGACTTTAGGTTTTAAATCCCAAACCCTTAAATCCATATAAAACATCTCAACAAACAAAGAATTGTTACAAATTCATAATATCTCAAATTCTTGAAAAATTATTGAGTTAATAAATTACAAAACACTGATTTTTAAATCCATAAAATTACGAATTCCATCCATTTTGAACCAGCAAAATGAAGAGGTGGGCTAATTTGAAATCTCTGTAAAATAAAGCGAAATCAAGGGGCTGAAAGTGGGACCGGATTATATTTAATGACAGCAACTCGGAAGCGCGAAGGCAAGGTTGTCAACCCGCGGGTTGACCTGAGGATCGACCCACTTTGACTCTGACCTGGTGAGAAAAACGGGCGGCACGCACCCGTCGGGCCGACCGCAACAAGGTACCGGGTTGGAGGTCAAATTGTATTATTTTTTTCTTTGGTTTGCGAAATGCGCCTATTTTCCGATTTTTCTTTTCGCCTAGCTCAATTTTTGGAATGCTAAGTTGAACATTTGAATATTTATGTTATATAAGTGTGTGTGAATTTTCACTATATGTTGGATCTATATACGATATGTTATTTTGGTGTAATATTATATGTTATAACCCATATGTTAGATAAGATTTGATATAATTTATGAGGATAAGTACAATATAATGACTTTTTCCATATTTCCGGGCCAAATCGGGCTAAAACGGTTGACCCATTAACCCTTGACCCACTAGCTTGACCGGGTCCGGGTCAACCCGCGGGTTGACAACCTTGCGCAAAGGAAAAGGGGAAAAAAAAGAGAGATTTTTTTAGTTTTTTTCCTTTACTGTCACTTACACGTACCCAGCCAGTAGCCGACCACACCCACTCCCCGTAACCATCGAGCCATCCTTCGGCCTAACTTCCCGTTCCGGTTAGCCCCTATTAACTCCTTTCTTCCTCTTCAGCGCCCCCCACCTTCCCCTTCTTCTCTAATCAAATCTCCACTTCTGCTTCTACTTCCTCTTCTTCTTCCCTTTTATAAAAAGGCCCCAATTCCTTCCTGTGGCTTTCTTTCCTTCCCTCCCATCGTTTGTTTGTTTGTTTGTTCGTTTGCTCCTTCCTTCCTGTCTCTCTCACCCTCGCCCGGCCCTATCTATCCTTCTCTCTCTCTTGTCTTTCCGCGTTTCGTTTCTCCCCCCCAATCTCATCGTCGCAGATTCGCTCTTCGATCCACCAACTGGTAAGTCTTCTCTCTCCCCTCCACCGTCTCGTTACTAAGCCCTAATTTCCCCGCAATCCTCGCTCCCCCCCGATCGACCGACGACGAGGATCCCTGATTTCTCTTCTCCGGTGAGCGAAGCTACGCTTCTTTTTGGTTCTCCCGGCTCGCTGTGTTGTTTGACTTGTCAGGTCGAGATTTCCCGTTCTGCATGCGACTGATTCAAGATTAGGATTCTCTGTTTTGTTTTTTCGTCTCTCCCTACTTAGGGTGTGTAGTAATCTGGGTGGAATTCTGATTGCGTGCCCTATCTGGGAATTTTTATTTATTATCTCCGTGTGCCGGTGGTGTCTGTTTGGCCAAAATTCTTTGTCGTGATCTACGATTTAGCTGGGGCGGTCATTGGTTGGTGTGTTCAGGACTCTGGATTTCTCATTCTTTTGATGTGTGTTTACGGGGTGTGTGTTGAGTTGCTAGGGTTTGATTGTCATGATCTGTATGGAGAATCACGAGTTCCGGATGTGATTAGATTGGAGGGGGATTTCTCTAGGGTTTTGTCGTTGTGGGTGTCTTCTGTGTGAGTGAGACTTGTACATAGTGTGAATTTAGGAAGACGAATGTAGTATCCGTGAAGTGCCTAAATTGAGGGCTGGTTGGGTTTCACTGTCGAATGGCAACCCAAAGAAGAGGAAAATACCGGAATTCAGAGACTGCAGTGGATCTTACTCATGTATTGGGGATATTTAGAGTAGATTACTTAACTGTTGTGGCAGTTTTTCTCACTTAGAGCTTTTTCTTTGTGATCTAGGCAACCATGAGTGACGAGGGAGAGAAGACCTGCCCACTTTGCGCTGAGGAGATGGATCTGACTGATCAGCAATTGAAGCCTTGCAAATGTGGCTATGAGGTTTGACTTCTGGCCCTTGAATACCTGGTCGATATCTTTGTTGATGCATGTCATAATAAGTTGATCTGCCACTCTGTTCTAGTCTGTATTAGTGAACTTGTAGAAGCACACCTGGAATGCAATGAATTCTCTGTTGTGGATTGTTAGTCGTAAGAATTTGATTATTTTGCTGTTAGTGGTTGTCTTTTTGAAATCATGCTTCAGTATTCCGTCTGAAAGCAGCAACATTTTTTATGCAGATAGTAGTAGTGATCTTTATGAGATGAATTTTTTTTATTATTAGCTTGTTAGTTCTCACTGGTGGTTGTTGGAGGGTGAAATCGAAAATGTAGCTTCCTGTTTTTCATAATTTCTTGTGTCTTGTTTTGGATGTGTTGATGGGGGAAGTTAATGTGCTATCCTTTGAAGTGTCCGTGATTGTACATTGTATTCATCTGGTTGCCTGTTATTCTTTTCCATCCACCAATTGGTAATTTATTATTGCATTGGTTCTCTTTGCTGTAGATATGTGTTTGGTGTTGGCATCACATAATGGACATGGCTGAGAAGGATGACTCAGAGGGCCGGTGTCCTGCATGCCGCACCCCATATGACAAGGAGAAGATAGTAGGGACCGGACCGAATGAGAGGTGTTTAGATATATCATCTGTGTGTTTTTCCAGTGGCTATTGTTGTATTTTTGTTGCTGACTTGAAATTTACATAATAGATTGGTTGCTGAATTCCAAGATCGGAAGAAGTCACATAAGTCAAAGACGAAACCATCCGAGGGGAGGAAGCAGCTCAGCAGTGTGAGGGTGATCCAACGGAACCTGGTGTATATAGTTGGGCTACCTCTGAACTTTGCCGATGAGGATGTAATGTCTTTTTCTGTGTTGCTCAATGAGTTTTCAGCTTCCACTTCCTTCACAATCCATCCTTTATCTACATCATAGAAAGAGCGGGGTCTAACTTTTTGACATCTTTTGAGCAGCTACTCCAGCGAAGAGAATATTTTGGTCAGTATGGGAAAGTCTTGAAGGTATCCATGTCACGGACAGCAGCGGGAGTCATTCAGCAGTTTCCTAATAATACTTGTAGTGTGTAAGTTCAAGTGTTCTTTCTGCAGTATGGTATAGTTTAACTTAACAGGGTGTTCTCCTTTTTCAATGGATAACCAAATGGGGATTTCAGAAAGAACCTGTAAATCATCAATTTATGTAATTCTGTGCTTTCTGATGTGTATACTTGAGAACAGCAACTTCTACGCTACAAAAGTTTATATTCTGTGTTACCTCATAGATTCTGTTCGGTGACTCGTTTCTCCTGACACTGTTTTGGTTTTCATGTTGTTTCTAATTATCTGACAAAATTACTTGACTGTCATTGTATGTAGATATATTACTTACGGAAAGGAGGACGAAGCTATTCGTTGTATTCAATCTGTACATGGATACATTTTGGATGGTAGACCATTGAAGTATGGGCATGTTTAATACGAATCATATTTTTATTTGAATTTATCTGTGTGGTAGGTATGCATGCTAATACTGTTCATATTTTCCAGGGCATGCTTTGGAACCACAAAGTACTGTCATGCTTGGTTGAGAAATGTGGTATGTGCTACAAATGTTCTAGCTGCTGCTTGTTTATTATTGATTTTTGACGGTTGCATCCTTAAGGTCTAAAGTTTGTTTGCAATTTTAATATGAAATTTTTCCTTTTGAATCCAGCCCTGCACCAATCCTGATTGTCTATACTTGCATGAGGTTGGATCTCAAGAAGTTAGTTTTACAAAAGATGAGATCATCTCATCGTATACGAGGTATATTGAAATGTATTTTTCATTCAAATTGCCTATTACTTTGTTACGGGTGCATAATTGATTGAACATGACACTGTACAAAAGGCATCTGTGAATTTTAGCAATCAAGCCATCAGATCATTTATTATTTTACCTCTCTCTTTAGTATAAACTATTGGTTTTTAGTCCTTGCTTATGCTTCTTCTTTTTGGGCTGCTATTTGATGTGTAACTGCTTCATGCTGGTCTTAAAGGAGTAGGGTGCAACAGATTACTGGCGCAACCAGTAATTTAGTTCCGCGTGCAGGGAATATGTTGCCACCTCCATCCGATGATTATTCTTACAACACTTCGGCATCTTCTGCAAGACCCATACTGAAAAATGCAGTAAATGTAAGATTTCAAGTTTTTATTCGAAAGAAGATAGAGTCGAGTGTCTGATTTCTTCTGAATAAGTTTGATGTGATGACCAAGTCCTTTTGTACTGATTTAAAAGTTTATCTGTTGTATCCTGCAGAGTACAATGGGTAGTAGTGGAAAGGGTTCGCCTCCTAATGGGAGCGGTAGTAGATCTGGTGCTCTTCCAGCTGCGGCTTCATGGTATGCTATTCACTTTGATGTCTAGCAGTGGGTTTATGACCTGTATCTAATTATCCTGAAATGCTGTTTTTGCAGGGGAATGCGCTCCTCAAACCAGCCATTAAATCTAACATTTTCAAATGGCCCTCCTAAGCTGAAGTCTGATACAGTTGCCAGCACTGTTGGATTTTCATCAGCTACAGTTCAGCCTTCTGCATCATTTGCAGTGAAAACGACCAGTTGGAACGAAGATAGCCAATCAACAAACAGTAAATGCAAACCTGATCTATTAGTACCTCTGAAACAGCTGTCCGGTGGTGACTCCCCTCCGATTGTGACCGAAAAGGCATCTTTAAGTAATACCAGTGCTAATATTCACTTAACTAAAGATTCGGGAAGAGCTGAGGTATCAAGTGTGAAAAGTTCTCTTATCTACCCTCAGTCCTCAAGTCATGAGCAAGATGGGCTTGCTATTGCAGATGAGAAAATTCTGAGTTCATGTCCTGAAATCTCCTCAACAAGGATTGGTAGAAATGATAATTCTGGGGCAGTGTCTAGAACTAGCAGTGTGTTTCCAGAGAACACTGAGGTTAAATTTCCTAGTGGTCAGCAACAATGTGTTGAGCAGTATGGAGATTCTTTAGCATCTCCGGCAAGTGAGCCTGCTGCGAATGGGGTATATGTTTCAAGAGAAGAAAAAGACTGGAGAATGGATCCACAGACTGAAGCAGTTCCTATCAGTGAATGTGAGCTAGAAGAGGATGTATTATCATTTGATAACCAGAGACTGAGGGATCCAGAGTTGGTCAGCTGTTCATTGTTTTTGCCAAGTTCGGTGAACTCTCTCCAGGCCGCAAAGAGTTCCTGGTCTCATTCTCTGCAGCATACTGATGCTTTAGGTACTGTTGAAGCAAATCCTGATCCTTTATTCTTAGATCATAGAATTGGTGATGGTCCAATAAGACACATGCCTAGCAATTCTGTTTTGCCAAATGGATACCCTGAAACATTTATGAATAGCTCTACTGGGTTGGGTAGACATTCAGAACAACCTCTTTTCCGCCCTGGCCAAGGTGAAGGGGAGCACTTGGGAAGATTACAATGTGACAGTAATGGTAATGCGACTCTAGATGCTGGAGAGAGTAGCATAATTTCGAATATACTATCTCTAGATCTGGATGGATGGGATGAATCATTAACTTCTCCTCAAAAGTTGGCTAAAATGTTGGGTGATACAGATCCACAAACTAGTTCTCTGAAGATGTCTAATTCCTGGAAAGGTCAAAGTAACAAGCAGTCTAGGTTTTCTTTTGCTAGGCAGGAGGAATCAAGGAATCATGCATTTGATGTTGATCCGTCCTTTATTGGGCTGGGACAGATGCCAAGGAATCATTCCTTCAATCCTGATCTCTTGGAAAATAGAAATTCATTCTTGGATAAGCATGGGCTGAGTAATGGTTTCTCATCAAGTAATATGGACGAATCAGAATCCTATCTTGGTGGCACTTCAGCTTTTCCTTCCAGTAAGCCTTCTGGTGAGTTTTTACTGTGGAGATTTGTTGATCTATTGTACTTGTTCCTATTCTGTTACCATTAAGATCATAAGAAATGCCTCTACTTCTGTAGTTGTCGGTGGTTTCGATATTGTATCTATATCTGGTAATAGTTACATAGTCCAGAGCACGATGCTTTTTTTAATGTTATTCACGTATGTTGCTGCATAAGTTGCCTCGTAGTCATATGCTGTTTTGTCTTGGATGTGAAATGGTATGTGATGATGAGAACTGCCTTTAAAGTTAACTAATCATAATTGCTTCTCCATATAATCAGTTTCCCGATCTCAAATTTCGGCCCCACCTGGGTTTTCAGTGCCTAACCGAGCACCACCACCAGGTTTCTCTTCTCACGAGAGAGTGGAGCAGACTTTTGACAGCATCTCAGGTTAGGCTTCAGCTTCTATTGCCTTGTTCATTAGGACATGCTTACAGTTTGCTTGTTCGCGTTTTTAATAATCTTTCTCTGTGCAGGAAACCATTTGTTCGATTCATCTTCCTTGCTTAGAAGCTCATACCAGGCTCCAATGGGTGGAAGCATGGGAAGCACAGCTGACATTGAATTCATAGATCCTGCAATTTTGGCTGTTGGCAAAGGGAGACTTCAAGGGGCTTTTAGTAATAATAATAGCCCTGGTTTGGACATGAGATCAAACTTCCCACAACAGTATAGCAATTTTGAGAATGATGCCAGACTACAACAACTACTTATGCAAAGATCTCTTCCACAACAGCAGCAGAACCTACGATATGGTGACCTTGGGGATAACTTCTCTTCTCTCACTGATTCTTATGGCCTCTCTTCAAGGATGGTGGATCAGTCTCAACTGAACAACCTTTCCCCCTTTGCACAACTGTCCGTCCCACAACCTAGAGGTAATGGACATGTTTCAAATGGCCACTGGGGGGATGGCTGGAATGAGGTCCAGGGCGGTGGGAACAGTTTGGGTATGGCAGAGCTACTTAGGAATGAGAGGCTGGGCCAGTTCAACAAGTTTTACTCCTCTGGGTACGAAGATTCAAAATTCCGGATGCCTAGCTCTGGTGACTTGTACAACAGGACGTTTGAGATGTGATGCAGTAGTGGGGGACAGATGAAGATGTTTTGCTTGGCTAGCAAATGGCTGAGAGTTGTAGAGGGGGGGGGATGGATGAGATGATCTGCTTCACAACTACATGGCCGTTGTACTGAAGGATTGGACTCTACAGCTTTAAAAGTGTTTGGTCTTAACTGGGCAGCCTTATGAAGGACCAAAAGCTCCTGGAAACTCGTGGTCTCGAAGGCAGCAGGTGTGATATGAATGCTCGCTTGGGGAAAGATTTATCCTTTGCTCCTTGCAATCATTCCAGCAGAGCTGCTAATCGCCTAAGCAGTGTTCATTGTGCTTTTTCTTTCCATCGCAGGTCATGTAAGCTTGTGGAGAACATCGTCACTGTAGTTGAAGGAATCCTGGAAGCGTCAGGGGTGCGTGCGTACTACTACTACTACCTGAGAAGTTGAGGGCAAAGGTTGTTTAATCGTATAGAGTTGTCGAGTGTCCTTCCTTTTCTCCAGAGTCTTGGTTCTGTTTATTTTGCCTGTGATGAGTAAAAAGAAGGAATGAATTTGGTTGATTTTGTCTCCGTCAGGCTGTCTGTTTTCCCTTCCCTACCTGCTCGCCGTTTGTACTTATTTTGACTGCCTTCCCGATAATTGTTGCTAACAGCAAGTATTAGATACGAAAGATAAGGGGGGAAACGTATTGCTTCAACTTCGAGTTACTCTCTCAAGTTTCAACTTCTGCATCGTCTTACACTCGTATGCTGTGGTATCTGTGCTGGTTTAGGTCGATGTTCGCAAATAGCTAAATCTCCAATTTGATTTTCTGAATTAGGAACGTTATTAGTCGACAAGTAGAAGTCGAGCACCTTCTAAGAGTGCTTTTACTTCCGCTTCAATCGGAGATGAACACAAAGTAGAGCAGCCCGTCCATCACTAACATGCCCTTTGTTGTTAACGAGAACAATTCCAAAAGCCGATACTTAGAAAGCTTGTATAAGCATATCTAAATGATACATCACAGTGAATCTCAAATTGGGGATACAGATGGAGTGAAATTTGTGTAGGTAAGAACATTCAAGATACTTCCATATAGCAGCAATGCAGGTACTGTATTCGAGGGGATTGCACTCCCTCAACAACATTCCTACCTTTCCAAATGTTCCAACAGAAGGAACAACTTGGAGGATATTCGAGTGCGAGATACTGCCCTTCAAGGTGCAGAACCAATCGAGGTAGGAGCAGAATGCTGATAGGAGCAGAAGAGATGAGAATAATCCGATCCAAGCATTTGATGCGTGCTAACATGAGAAGAGGCAGTGGAACATTGATTCATCTGTACAGTCACAACAGGAACAGTTCGAATTTGACCCACATTTCCTGGTCATCAAGTTACTTTTTTGTGGCAGATAGCTTCCTCTCGCATCTCCATATAAAGACGTGTAGTTTCGTTGGGACGGAGAGGCTCCACACCCATTGCCAACGATCCCTGTCAAATTGAGACACATGAGATGAGATAGATGACCACCACGACCTGAAATTTAATTATGGAAAGCATGGTAGGCCATTACTAACTAAGAGTATAACGTAATTTCGAGCATAAAGAGGATATTTCAATTTTTGGAGATGGCTACTTTGGTAGTGCCTATCACCAACATATCTGATTTGGGCCAAAGGGAATAAGAGGGGGAGGTGTATTGCTCAGTGGGTTGCATTGCATTGCATGCCATAGAATGGAGATTCGTCGAAAAACCGGTCCAGCTGCCCGTTTGTTCTTCTGTGGACTCTGTCATTGAGTTGGAGTTGAGTCGGTAGGCTATATGTCAGAATCAAACTCCAGAGTCCACATACGTAGAGTCAACTTCACAATCTAGATGCTTTAGTTGTCAGATTGATCTGATTTGATGAAACATTCAAAAAGCTGATGTAGTAGCTAGGAAGTTTGTAGCCATAGATAGGGTTAGGGCTGCCCTTACAAGCGCTCATGGGAAGATGCCAGCAAGTAGCAACTACACTACACTCCATTCTCTTCATATTCGATGTTTTTGATTCCTAGATCGACCCCATTTATGGCAAAAAGGAGGTCAAGTCATTTTACTTTGTTCTTGTTCCACCTTCACATATATAATATATACCCCTCTTCTTTGGGGCAATTTGTAGGAAGTGGGGTATTTTATTTACATGTGTGTTCTTGTCAAGCCTCTAATCGAAAGGCATGGCTTTCTTTTTTAATTTATTTGCAAGTGGTAATTACTTTTTTTTCTTCCGATATAGACAAATAAATATTGCACCAATAACTTCAATTTTGATAGTAATAATGTTGTAAACTAATCCTTATCAACATGCAAGATACGAAGTTTGTTTGGATTTTTCTAACCCTTATCTAGTCAAGGCACTTTAGATAGAAGAATGTGAAGTAAGGTTGTCAACCTGCGGTTGACCCGCGGGTCGACCCAATTTGACCCTGACCCGGTGAGAAAAACGGGTCACACGCACCCGCCGGACCGACCGCTACAAGGTACCGTGTTGGAGGTCAAATTGTGTCATTTTTTTCTTTGGTTTGCGAAATGCGCCTATTTTTTAATTTTTCTTTTCGCCTAACTCAATCTTTGGAATTCTAAGTTGAACATTTGAATATTTATGTTATATAAGTGTGTGTGAATTTTCACTATATGTTGGATCTAAGTACGATATGTTATTTTGGTGTAATATTATATGTTATAACTCATATGTTAGATAAGATTTGATATAATTTATGAGGATAAATACAAAATAATGACTATTTCCATATTTTCGGGCTAAAACTGTTGACCCATTAACCCTTAACCCACTAGCTCGACCGGGTCCGAGTCAACCCGCGGGTTGACAACCTTGATGTGAAGTAATAAAACAGGTTTTAACATACGATTAAGGGGGAAAAAATATCAAAATATGTTTTAGGTGGTAAGATATATAGTTGACACAATATAATCATATGATCTGATTAAAAAAAAACACTGATCTATGGAGGGCTACTCCATCATAAAAACAAAAAAAGCAAGTAAAAGAGAATTTGGTCGACAAATTATTGAAGTGACAGGATCCCAAATTTGAAGCCTCTTGTCGGATTTCTGCTAGGATGGACACCCTTTGCCTAAGACTAGAGGACCCTCCAGCTCCAACGTTGCTATGATAACACAAGCCTCTAATATATTAAGAGGAATTTATGCCAATTTGCCTCTACACAAAAAGTGAACTTCTATGAACAATCCTTTCACCTCTCCCCCACCGTCTAATCGGAAGGAAACGGATCCAAAAGGAACATGGCATTGCCTCTCTAGCCAGGGGAACATATTCTGAAATATGACATATTGGCTGCAAATTTATTGCATTTTTTCGTTTGATCCCAATTTTAGTTGTATGATTTTTAATCACTTTCTTATATGCTTCTCAAACGAAAGTTAATTTATGGGTTTGAAATTTGCACGCACCCGTCATATCATATTGGGGATTGTGCCCATTAGCTCGAGTTTTTCAGAGATGTCCATATATGAATTTAAATCAGCTCTTCACAACAATGAATAGTATAGTAGTTCTAATTGTAATAAGATCATCATGAAATTTAACAACTATAGAACATTTTGTCTGTTACCATACTACAGGTTATTGTGTCTACAAACATCTCCAATGATTCCTCTTATTTTAGTACAGATTGAAAACCGAACCATACCGGTAGTTCGACCAGAAAAATCTCATTTCGAAAACTAAACCGATAGATAATATTTAATAATATAAAATAATTGAATCATAATTTCACATAAAATATCCTACCACTTACTTTTAGCCCTTCCATTAGTCCATCCATCACAAATGACTTTGTGGTATCCTTAAAACAGGTCACTTGCAGGTTGCAGCAGCAACTATATTCTTTCACCCTTTGACCCAATTGTAGCCAAGTGAAAAGAGAGCAATTGGGTTGGTCCGCTGCTGTTGGAGGTGGTGGGCCTATCAAAACTGTCCCTAAATGCTCTATGGGCCCACCATTATTTAAGGACCAATAAGGTACAAAGACAAAGTTGCAGACAAATTGTGGAGGGGACCTGAGCCCACCACCAAAAAGACTGAAAGCCATTTGACAAGCTTTGCTTTGCTTGGCGCGGCCCACCCTTGGAAGCAAGCTGGTGAGTGTCAAATTCTCATTCATTGGCATATCTTTATTGCTTGTCGTCGATCAAATATAGAGGAAGATTGCATTTGCAGCCCCTCACCAGCAATGATAGGGACAAGGAAAAAAAAAATATGGACAGCTAACACTTGATAGTAACACCCAAATTTGGGTAGGTCCAGAAATTATTATTATAAAGTTATGTTTAAGCCTGGAAGGTTCCTTCCAGGCGGTTGATGAAGAACGAGCAAAGCATCTGTTTCAGAGGGCGGGTGTACTCCAAGCTCCTGCAAAACAAGGGTCCGTGGGCGGTCACCCCGGACACCCTCCGATGCTAAAGTTAGAGAGAGAAGAGAAAGATTTTTTTTTTTGTTTTAGGCTTAGAGAGAGAGAGTAGTTGAGTTCCCATCAATGCAGATATGAATGTATTTATAGTCGGTTAGCTTGAGTATGAGGCATTAAATGCCATGTCAGGCGCCCTAGACACGCCTTGCTTTATCTAGACCGCCCGCCGTGGACAATTAATGCTCAGTCCTGCAGTATTCGAGGTGAGTATCCTAGGAATATCTTATTTTCCTGCCACCAACGGTACTTTGTGTCGGGCGGCCTACTCCCTGTCCCATCATAGAGTGGCCGCTTGCCATTCTCCTTTCCCTACGTCCCTTCTCTGGGCCTCTCGCTGTGCCTCGTTCGAGCCCCTCTTTCGGGCCTTGCCTGGTCGACTTCTTATGGGCTTTAAGCCCAACACTGCTCAATTATGGGTCCAACAAGTTAAAAGTTAAGTTAGGGAGGTTGTGAAAAAGAGGGTTAAATAGTGGATGAGTATTGTTAATTTTGAGTTCAGAACGATCTGGTCACCATTTTATGAGTGATAAGAGTCGGACCAATCATGTTTATATGTTGGTGAGTTGGATTGGGTGACGAAGTTTGGTATGTTGATAAAAACAACATGTAAGAGTCTGTATAATGGATTTATATCGAATTTAAAAGGAATGAGATCTTAAAATTAGAAAAGAGTTTTATTTTGGTTTAAAACTATGACGACAATAGGTTAGATCTTAGAGTGATGATTGTGAGATTTAAGGAAGAGTTTTTGTTAGAGTTGTGGGTCATCACCCATCATCCATCTCTCGACTTACTCAAGCGAGTGACCTGTTCCGTAACCAACAACCTCCCATTTAAAGATAAAACAAAATGTGATATGGTTGATGTGTGTGGGTTTGATGGTCCGACCCAATGCTCACCCTAGTGAAAATCTTAATGGTTATCGCGTATTCAAAAGTGATTTGTGGTTGACGATCGTGTAACCTAGACACAAGATTAGGTACCGTGGAGTGGTCATAAATAAAGGGCTTCAGGGTACAAATTAAAAAAAATATCGTAAATAAGAGACGTTATAAAAGAGTACAACCCTCGCTAGCGTGTAGAGAGCGTCATAGTTTTGGACTAATAAGTTTTCCAATGATAAGGCTGGTTTATTGGCAGCATATTCCCATCAGTCCAAACTATGTGATTAAATAAATCGTTCTTTTTCATTTTGCAGGTTGAGGGCTCTTTCTTGAAACTCCAATTCATATATATACATAGAGGAATCCCAACATCACAAATCATAAAATCTCTCAATTCAATAGACATAAAGTTTCATAGTCAGTAACCTATCTAACAAGAAATTAACGTTTTATATTTCGATAGACCACATTTCAGTGTCGAAATTCCATCATTCAATTCAAGCAACGGCTAATTGTTATAGTACCTATTACCTAAGACCCGCCCCTACCTACAATCGAAGGGTCGAAGCACCAGCCAATGGGAGAAGGAAGCCAGAAAGTCAGAAACGGAGAGACTGCAGAGGGGAAAAAGAAAAAAAAGATAAACAAACAAGCAATGCTATTGCTGTTGCTGGCCCCCATTTCTTTCTTTTATTTATTTGGTGGCAGGCAGGCAGGCAGGCAGGAACCTTTTTTTTTTTTTTTTGTCGCCACTTGTTTGTTTGCTACAGTTCCGAGGAATTGTACAATCAGAGATCTTCTGTTTGGGTACGGGGTCCCTTTCTCAGATTTGACAATTAATAAAACCCAATCACAACAAAGTGTTTAAAAATGGAAACAAAAGTGAGAATCAACCTAGTACCCTCCAAACTCCCCAACACATGAAACACCATTTTAAAAACTAAATTAATATATTTTTTCTTCGTAAAAAAGAAAAAAAGGTTGAAAAGTAAATAAATATATAGAGAGAACTGTGGTGGGAGTGACTTAATTAGGGCTAACCTGATTTCAGTTGTAGACCTGTTTGACTTTTTAGTATCCTACTAAATTACGATGGATATGTGCGATCATATGAGATCATACTATGGATGCTCATCGTCAACCCTTGTAACCAACATTCACAAATAAATTATCATCAATCGGTGCATAAACATACGAAATGTAGACGGGTTTACGTTCAAATATATGCTCAGTTTACATTCAAATATCAACTCCAAAAGCTAAGCCACAGTTTTGAGGTGACCTGGTAAGCCACAAGAGCAATAAGAGTCTAGGCTCCAAGCCATTGGAAGTGTCGTAGGAGCGCTCTAAGAATACTCGTATCAAATGCTTAGTCTGAAAACTGTATTGCATTAATACAGAACATTTCGCCTTTTCTTCTTTGCTTGCCGAAGAAGAAGAAGAGTCTGGTGTGGTTGGTTTTATATGGTGGGAGCCTGGGGAGGCTTCATTGAGTAGTAGAACTGAGAGCCATTGGCAGCCATGGCCGTGGGAGATGGTACGAAACCAAAGCCGTGGCCTGCTGCTGCTGCTGCCGCCGCCATGTTGTGGTGGAAAGGTGTCGAGGGATTGGTGGAACGAGGCGGAGGACGGTGGAGAAGAGTAGCTGAAGTTGAGAATCCTGATGATGCTGCAGTTGTCGTAGAGAACAATGCCATTGGGGCAGTAGTAGTTGCTGCTGTGACCTGTTGCCCATGCATTTGCCACGCCCAGCTGCGGGGGAGCCCATGAGAAGAAGCTTGTTGTTGTAAGTGTTGTTCTATCATCTTCTCCGTGGTGGCTCTTTCCTGTCAGAACCAGCATTAACCAAATTCAGTGCCTACTTCAGTGCGCTAAATATCTGGAAAAAGCTATGTTGCATATCTTGCCACCTCATTTCCCACAATTCCACTTGCAGAAACATATTGTTTTTTCTGTTAATGGACTGCTACTGTATGGAGAAAAGAGGGTAGTAGCATGTTTCGTCTGGGGAATTCATTGGATTGGTTGAAAAGAAAGAACCAAAATAAACGAATTAACCTGGAGAGCTACTAAACTTTAAGAATTTCACATGTAGGGAAACCCAATTGAGGCTCACTTCTAAAATTCTTCCCATAAATCAAGTTCGACTTGAAAGCACATAAAGGGAAAGAAATGGTGGAGTACAGGATGTAAAGGAAAACTAGGTTTAGCTTGGATAGGAAACATGACGACAGAAAAAAGTAGGATCAGCAAGTTGACATATCATGGTGGTTTTAGTAAAGAATCCGTGAAGCCTTGGTTTGACAACTAGACAGAGAGTTTTGGACTATTACTAGAAGAGATCCGGAAGTTGATAAGAACACCCAATATAAACATACCTCGGTAGGGAAGAAAGTGGTATATGCACTGTTCAAGGGTATTGAGTGATCTGATGTCCTCACAAAGCCTTTGAAACGAGGATCACCAGCCATTTTACCCATTGGGTTCTCTACCTGCGTATCAACAAAGTTAATCCACACCATTAAGCTACACGTCCAAAACATCATAGCTGATAGATCGGTGTTTTGATATCTAAACAACCAGGCTGGTGAATGCAAAAAATATTTCACAATAGGTTTGCTGCAGCAACAACCTTAAACCGGAAACAGATACTAAGTTTGGGAATTACTGAGTGATGCTTTACCTGTGAACTCTTATCACGAGTATCTGGAGGTCCTGAGTGAAATGGCAGGTGGCCTGCATTTTCCTTGGAAGCGCAGGCAAAAGGAGGGGATATTCCCAAGTTAAGGTCAAGGTTGTGGCCAGTTCCTGGATGGAAACCATATAGAGAAATGAGTTCATCCAGAACTATTAAAAGTACACCAGACACAGAGACAACCCACTAAAGCACAGCAGCTAACCTTCAGTCCTAGTCTCAGAAAGCATCTCCCCGTCATATGTACAGGGCTCAAAGTTGGTCACAGCCTCCCTTCCATTACACTTGATGGCTGCCTTGTCATAAGCCCTGTTTTCCAGAAAACCAAAGTGGAAACACACATTGGATGGGACGCATTGAGGTCGAAAGAATTTATGGTAAATAAACTATCAGGAGTAGGGTGTAATCAATGTTCATTAGGACCTTGCAGCTTCTACCTCACTGTCGAACAGCCCAAGATATATATACCTGCACGCAAGCATTGTAATCTCCCAGGTGAAAACACCGTAGCCCAATTATTTCATCTTTGAAATATACATCTTTAGAAATATTTTCCCCAAACAAAACATGAGAGCAATAATTTGTTTGCGCAAATATGCTTCTAAGATTTGTTTGATCACATTGAGGCACTCACTCAACGAGCATAATCTAGCATTTCGAAACATACAAACCACAGAGAAATTACGGAGAACAGTTCTCACTTTTTGCCGAGGAACTGCCCCATTCTAGCTTCCCACCGGCCACATTTGTGCAATGTCACTCCTCGAAATTTTGAACTCCCACGGGAGAAACCAGTGCTTTGTCGACGCAATATGTGCACAAATTCTTCCTTGGTCAGATTCTTCATCTGTTAAACAAAGCAGCATCAGACACAATCTTCTAAGCCTATAGCCAAATCGGATGATCAATTTCTACTACTACCCTTCTCTTCCTAACCTGATTCATGTCTTCATCATAGTCGGCAAGACTAAAGTTGATATCAGCATCAACTCCCCTGAACTTAATTGCAGCTCGATCATAGGCCCTGAACGTAGTTAAGAAATGAAAGGTATGTAAAATGCACACCTCAAGAGACTGAACAAGAATAAAAAACTACGATGTTATGCATAACTAGTTATGGTACCTTGCAGCAGCATGAGCAGTGTCAAATCCACCTGTAAATTTGAAATAGACACCATTAAACTATATCCCATCAATCGCAAATAGAACTGAAGATGCTTCTTCTTCAATACAAACTTGAACCACAGGGAAACAAACAGAGCAGGTAGAATCCCTACCCAAATAAACCTGTTTCCCGCAGTCCCTGAAATAAGTGAAGGAAAATGGAAGAAAAAGTTCATTAGCCAAAACAGAAATTCCCTGATGCCGCATTATTACATCCTATCTTCACCCAGAAATTTTAGGGTTAGGTAGCAATTCAGTAGCTTCAACGACACATGGCCAAACAAATTCAATTCAGATTCAACGAAATTTGACCCCGAATTCAGCTATCCAATTCCAAATTCACTACCTAAGCAGGTCAAAAGCCAATAGGAATTTGATCAAATCACCACAGGAGATTCCAAAAGAAGTTGAAACGACGATGAATAGAGAAGGAGTACCAGATGTGAGATTCCCATCTCCCAGTCCGCCTGTAAAAAGTAACTCCTCTGTACTGCGAGCTCCGAGACCGGGGACCCCTCCGGCTCTTTTTCACCTGCTGTGAGGCTTGTGGAATTACGCGCACCGGTCCCCCACTACCACCGCCACTGGGGATCTCCTGCTGCCTCTCGACAGTCAGATCAATCCAATTCCCCGGCGGATTCCCACCTACCGGACACCCGTACGCCACCGGAGAGTTTTGCTTCCCGCAGCTCAACGGGAAGAAGTCCTTGGTGACAACGACGTCGTCTTCGCCATCCTCATTTCCGCCACCGCCACCAACTTTCAGTATGTCGAAGTTGAAGGGGCAGGCGACGGTGTTGGTGCCGCCGCTGAGGACGTTCTTGTTATTCGCAGCGTCGCCGGTGTGCGCGCGCGTGGAGCACGAGTCCTCGTTGCTCGACGCGTCGGCGTTGACTACCGACGAGCTAGACGTCCCCGATGCCTCCGGGAGCAGGCGATGGCACTGATACTTGTCCTCCTCCATGAAAGAGGCCGAGTCGGAGTAGTGAGTCGACTCGGCCGATTTCACATTCAGATTAAGATCCAACATACTCACGATTCTAGCTTCCTGGACAAACTTCTCGTCCCTAGTCACCTCAATTCCGAAGCTAATCCCGCTCGAAATCAGCTTATAACGCTAAGCGAGTACAAAATTCACATAATCAATCGCCGATTCTTGGCAGAGAGCAGAGAAATTGGACGGATGTAGACCGATCACAGGTGGAAGATCCTTGTAAACTTCACAGACTAAATACCAAACGACGGCAGAGAGCTGGAATCGAGAAGAGGCAGCCAAAAAGAGACAAGGAATTGAGGAGTAATAAACTGAGAGCTGAGGAGGAGTTAGAGGCTACTTTTATCTCTATCCTCTGACTCGCTCTCCTTTTTTTTGTTCTTCCACCGTTTCCGCTATCGCCGGCAATGCTCACCGGCGGACGGAGAAGTTGGTGACGGAGGCTTAAACGAGCACCGGAAAACTGAGGCAATGAGGAAGCGGAGAGATGAGTGGACGGAGAAGGAGTGCGGCATTAGCTGAGGCACTGAGGTAGGGAGGCGAAATCATATCATCGGCGACGGCTGGACTGGCAGGGGAAGACGGACGGAAAAAGAGAGAGAGAGAAAGGGGAGACGGGACGGTGTCAAATTAGGAAGGGTTGGAAGGGGGAAAAGTGGAATATATAAACATTTTTCGGTCTCAATTTGGGTTGGTTCGACGCCCACGGGATTGGCCGGTTGCCCGTCGCTTTCTTGCTTCGTTTTACGTTTTGCCCCATTTGGTTTTTGCTTTTGTTTTCGTTTCGTTTGTTTCCCCTTTGCCACATTCGATCTCTCCTCCGTTTCAATTGATTGGGTATACGTACAAGTCACCGTTAACTCTGTCCGAAATAAATCAAAGTTAACATCAAAACATCATCAGAAAGTGAAAAAGAAATATAAGAAACAAAACTATGTCATGTATGAAGTGTGAATACGAAAATAAATTAGGCAGACCAGAAAAAGATATAGTATGGAATTAATTATTTACGAGTCTCTAGTAATTTTGCAAGGGAAGAAACTTCATATTCCAGCCTAGGAACCACATGAGCGGCATAATATCATAGCTCACTCTTCAAAGAATGCATCTCATAGCGTTCCTAGCCTCTAGTCTAAATTCTTGAACAAGTTTGTAAATATTTTCTTCATCAAAAGACCAGAAAGAACTGTTAGGATATACTACACCACTCAACTAAAGCAATCTAAATGATTACTCAATAAGTTTGTAAATATTTTCTTAATCAAAAGATTGGAAAGAAAACCAACTCCCTGTGGACTGGCGGAGGAATCCATTTTGGGTATGTTTGTGTCCTCATTCTTGTTTTTGTTTTGGGAGGATTGGGATAATTGTTGAGTTTTGACAGGGAAGGGTGAGCTTTAGTTTATAGGGTTATTTATTTATTTAAATGAAACATTATACTCAGTCTTTTTACGTTCCAGACTTTAAGATTTTTTTTTCAAATGAAAACCATTGGGGCTAAAATTCCTAGACTAAATTTATAGTGGTGGTTTGGATATGTTCATCAAGACCATTTTTCAAATTACACAAAATTCTATTATCAAAACACACTCGACCAACTTCTAAATAGCATTGGGTCGGATACCTAAAATCGAGAAATTTATCAGCATGATACAAGCTTTGAATCCGGAGGAGGGCTGTGCCTGACTCGGGGTGGCCCATCCTAGATCCGCCACTGCAGGGCCGGAGCTACAACTTGGCTTGCCCCCTCCCCCCCCCCAACCCAAGAATTATGAAAATTACGTGTAAACCCAGCCAGCTTCTTGAAATTTTTGTATTAACTAAATATATTATAGGTTCTGTAGTGTGCAGCCAATTATCAAGAAAAATAATCCAGTCTAGCGGATGGGAGCACTTATACTATCCTTTAGTTGTGAGTTGTGACTTCGAAACCCAACATAGTAGATTTGGAAAATTGTCCTAACCAGCATTCATTCAATACTATAATTTTTTTTTACAAGTCTTTTAATTCAAAACTAAGTCATTTAGTTTCAAATTAGATTAGTTAATTAAGTTCTCAACATGAAATTTTTTTTTCAAGTCCTTTAATTTAAAACTAGATCGATTAAATTTTGATTGAAAATTTTTAGGATAATTTTAGCAGATAGTGAATAAATTATATTGTTCTCCAAATATCGATATAAGGAGAACTTCATTTTTTAATATTGAAAATAAAATGGATTATACAATATTAAAACTTATTATTAATTTTTTTCTTTTCTAATCAATATAGAACCTGCTAGTAAAATTTTTAGTTTAGATTTTATTTTGAGTGACTTTAACCATCTTTAAAAATACAGTTATCACAATATTTCAAATATTTTTATTTTATTATTTTAGTGAATTAAACGTCTTTTGCTGCAATAAAATAAGAAACTTCAACCCCCAAACACGAAATCCTGGCTCCGCCCCTGCGCCACTACACGTACATACTTCTTCATTAGGATCCCTAAGGAGAAAGTCGTTCCTTACATCCACTTGAAGAAGAATCATTTCTTGTTTAGCAACAACAATAACTAAGCACTTGCACAGTTGCACTGGTCATCAACTTGAACAAGTAGTGCAAAACTATCATGGAAGTCGAATAACTTCTAGGGGCAGCAGCCTCAAAGTCGTCCAAGTAATTAACCAGCTGGGCCTGGCACCCGCACCGCTCACTTGTGTCATACCAAACCTAGCTAGCTAATTAAGCCGGATCAGGTTCGAATGAAAGTGCAGTCCAGCTCGACCGGAGGCACATTTAGTGGCGTTTTAAATTTAAACGAGGACTCATTTGAATTGTAATGATTGAAGGAGGTATTAAAAATCGTCTATTCTAATTTCTAAATTTATACAAAAATTATATATAATTTTGTATATTTTTCAAAGTAGAGAAAAACTGCAGTCCCTCTAATTTCAACCTAACTCCAGCACTTAGCAAATTGATGGAGGCTTCTAATGTCTCGGTGATTTGGAGTATCAACCTCCACACTCAATGGCAGAGCCAAGTTGACAACCGGAGTAATTATATCCCCTCAAATCTCAAAATCAGATGAATTCCATGTAAATTTAATAATAATTTTGAAAAATATATTGATTGATAGGATTTTACCTCTGTTGTTTGGTTCAAATTTTCTTAAGTATAAATTTTTGAGGAATTTTACAATGCTATATAGTATTGGTGTGGTAGGTTTTTGTCTTTATGGTAGAGCTTGAAATTGTACATTTACATTATGGTACAACTTCATATTGTACCTATACTTTTTGTACAAATTCTTTTATGGTACAACTTGAACTTATACCTTTATGTGATGGTACAACTTCAAGTTGTAAAGTTGTACCATAACATAATGATACAAATTCTTTTATAGTACAACCTAAACTTATACATTTAATATTATGATACTACTTCAAGTTGTACATTAAAGCACCAATACTATATAGCATAGTAGAAGGGCTCAAATTTTTTAGCTCACACTTTTCAAATTTCTAGCTCCGGGCTGTAAATCTTCGATACATAGATCACCTCCTGGGCTGCCGAGGTCATCTGCACATGCCAAATTGAATGGCTAATGAACAATGAAGGACCATTTCAGCTAGGGATGGCGGACGGTTTTCCGGTTAGCGGATAACCGGCCGGTTTTCGGCTAGCCGAAAAACCGATCCCAATGGCCGCGGTCGGTTGGCGAAGGGGGAATTCATGGGGCCGGTTAGCCGACTAACCGGGGTCGGAAACCGGCGGTAAACCGGCTAACCGACAAAAACGCCGCCCCCTCCCCCCCCCACTAACCCTAGCAGTCGCAGGCAGCCGCAGCGCAGTCGACCTTCCCCTAATCCCTGTCGAGTGTCGACCTTCCCCTAATCCCCTTCCCCTTCCCCCCTCCACCTCGCCGCTGCAGCTCCAGCCGCAACGCCAGGTCGCTAGCAGCGACCTTCCCCTTCCCCCTCCACCTCGCCGCCTCCACCTCGACGCTCCGCCGCAGCTCCAACCAGGCAACGCCAGCAGCAGCTCGTCGCCCCCCCGCCGCGGCGCCGCCAACATCAGCACTCCGGCAGCTCGTCGCCCTGCCGCGTTGCCCCAAGAACGTCCCCCTGCCGCGGCGTTCAAGTCCCCGCCGTCGTCGGTGGCGGTGGGGTCAGATGAAGTTCGAAGAAGGTGAGAGGAAGAAGTGGATCGGTGAGAGGAAGAAGGTGAGAGAAGAAGTGGCTTGGTGAGAGGAAGAATGTGAGAGGAAGAGAAGGAGAGAGAAGAGAAGTGGTATGGTCTCTGGTGGAGGAAGGAAAGAGAGAGGAGGAGCCGAGGAGATAAGGTTGGACATGAGTGGTCTGGAATTTTTGTTTTCTTATTTTTTTTTATAGAAAAGGTAGTTTTTCGGTTGGCCGGCTAACCGTGACCTATCTCACGGTCGGTGGTCGGCATCTGTTGGTGGTGGCTCGGTTTAACCGATAACCGGGTTTTCGGTTAAACCGATAACCGGGTTTTCGGTTAAACCGAAACCGACTGCCACCCCTAATTTCAGCAAGCCATGAGCAAACTAACCATTTGGATACGTATAGTTTGCACAGGCAGAACCTTTTAGTGCCAAACCAGTAGGCTTTAATTTGCATAAGTTGAATATACCATATGAGCAGACATGGCGGCGTAGATGGCGTTCCAAATCCGACAATAGGTGGCCGATAATCTCCCCCACAGGCCTGTCTTGTCGGTTACAATCACGAACGGGGTGGCGATTACGCTTCTTGGCCGACGGTTCAGATAAGTATTCCTTTATCATTTATTTCTTTATTATTATTATTATTATTTATTTCTTTTCATTAATTATTATCCTCCATACTATATTTGTTTTCAATTAGTCTTTTCAACTTTTTTCATTTTTCTCGTATGTATCTATTGCCTTCTTTTTAAATTATATACTTGCAAATTGTTAGGTCCCCGAAATTTAGGTCCTACCCATTTTAGGAAAAAAAATAGGTGTGTTTCGGGTGGTGCCGGTTATCTAGGGTCTCCCGATGACCTGGTTCTCTATTTCAAGGGCGAATTGTTGCCTTGTGTCTATGTTGACTTGTTGGCTCTTTGGCCTGGATTGTCCTAGTAGGGACCTTTGTTTGTTCATTTTGCCGGTGAAGATTCAATTGCACAATAGTCGATCGGTGGCGGTTGTCTTGTCCACAACAATTGATACGGTGGGATGGTGGGAGGCGACTTGGCGTGTGATCGAGGTGGAGCTCTACTAGAGGATACTCGGAGTTTAGCTTCTCACTTCAGTTGATTTTCTTTCTGCTTTGTTTCTCGTCGACTAAATAGGACTGGCCATCATGTGGCACAAAAGGCCCTCTCATCGGGAGTTCGACTATTGGTCGACTCCCGCGTTTTTTCTTTCTTCCTCCTTGTGACTATCTTTTCAACACTAACTTTGCAGGAAAAAAAAAGAATATATTATATGAGCAAACTAATCACTTGGTACCAATAATTCTAGTTAGTTGTTGGAAAATAGTTTATTAAGTATTTTAATCTCTTACAACATCGATATCCTATTATCCTTCCAGGGCTCATCATCAAGAAATTCCATTGTGACAACCTTTTTTCTCATCCTCGAACTCCGACGTTG